TGTTTCATATAAAAAAAACAGTTGAATTTTTTGTATTTAAATCAATCAAAGTGTTTATTAGCGCCCAAAACGAGGGCCAATCAGAGGGCCTGACTCGAGAACTGGCTCAGTCAGTGGGAACACGTCTGAAACTCATAAACCGTTGTACGCGATGTTTTGTCATGTGGGTGCTGTAAGGAGAAAGAGATAGCCTACACGATTGCTGAACTTCCTACAAGCCCCTACGAGGAAGGCAGCATCACAGATTCAGAAAAAGAAAACCGCCAGAGTCAAGTAGTTTGTATAATTGCAGCCTCACAGGGCAAAAAAACCTGCATTGACGGTTTGCGCCATTTAGAAATGACTGCAGCAGATTTTTTTCTAAAGTACATGTTCACAATGCGCACATCTGCACACACTTGAAACCTGTGCCCTATTCGAAGGGGCGTACAGTCGATTCAGTCCTCAACCAAGTCCGGTCACAATTAAGTCAAATCGCAAATGAATCCAGCGGTTCAGTCACAATAGGAAGGGAATATCTTTGCCGAAATCACTCAAATAGCCTGTAACTTGACTTGAAGCAGGGTGGTCTGTGACGGACCTGTGAGGACTTTGCGATAGAGTTCAGTCTGTTACATTGAAACCCTTTCCTCCCGTTTCCTGTCGTCGCAAAGAGACTCACTCCTTGAAACAACCCTTGTCCATCCTTCTCAAAGGTTTGGTATGTTTCTGATTCAGTTCACGTGAATAATCAATCAGCTCTGACACAGCATATTACCGCCTGTGATTGGGCCGCTCCATGCACTTCTTGGCCAAGCACAACCTGTCTCTACCGCGCCCAGCATGCAGTAATTCTAAACATGCACATGAAATTCACCTTGTATCTCTAATTGAGTGCTCGGCTTCCCTCGATTAAAGGTTTTTGAGGATTTCTCATTAAACGGGTGGGCAATTGTTGTACCATATGGCATAATGTTCGTGAGTCCATGACTGCAGCATTTCGTCCCGATGAGGTTCCAGGAACCGCCAGTTTTTATTATTGGTCGATTTATTACCGGGCATTGCACTTTTGACTGTCGAGCAGACCTTACAGAGTATCGGAGCGAATAGGTCACGCGCACAAATATGTGTGTAAAAAGCTGGATTAGCTGGAGACGGCTGAGTATGCAGTGTCAAGCAGAAAGATGGTGGGGACTATTATATAGGTCAAACCCGAAGCTAACTCGTGGAAGCTAATCGAAGGTGCCCATTAATGCGAGAACCAGCTCTGGAATCAACACGCGCTCGTACTCCATACGTTTTCACTACACTTCCTGGTTCAAATGACGTCATGCTTCGGTATTACTCCATTAGCTCCAAAAATACCTGGACCAACTCTCACCAGAAACGACGCTGCAGAATATTTGCCTGCAAAAGTGGTGGTTTCGTAATTTGATTCCATGCCATCGCATTCAAGGAAAATACGAAGACATGAATCAAAGTAGAATCACAGATTCCCAGAGGTATTTGTCGAAATTTGAACTGAATGAAAAAAAATGATTGTTTTGATGGCTTTAGTTAGAAATGTTGTTCATGTGGAGTGAAGTGTGATTAGGAAAAGACTATATCAGAATAGATTCCCATTGGAAGCTATCAAAACAAAACCAAGAAAAACGGCAGACGAGGAACAAAAAGGGAAAAAAAGAAAAATAGAACAAGAAAAAAGAAAGAAAAAGAAGAGACTTAACAATAACTGATGGATGCACGACTTGCCTAGGAATACAAAATGAACACTTTTATCAGGGTTTATATTTATAACAATTGCTACCAACTTCATGTTCAGATAAAGAAAAAATAAAGAACCTGAAACGAGTCTCCATGGCATGCATTTTTTTTTCGAGGATGCAATTTGGTAATCGGACTGAGGGCAAATTATGGGGTGATCATCGAAGGGACAGAGGAGAACAAACGGACCATTTTCCTCCGACTACGATCTTGCATTATTCCGTGTAATTGCCTCTTAGGATGCCGTCCCCAGGAGAGTCCAAGTCTCCACAGTGATGTGTTTTGATTTGAAGATATTATCCACACTGAATCCCAGTTCCCTCTCCCCCCCCCTTCCCTTGCCTGTACCTCAGTCCTCCACACGAAGGGCCGATGCGGGCTCCGTCTGGCGGCTTGCGGCCACGCAACAAAAGAGGAGACTTCATGAATACCAAATGGCTTTGTGAGTTGGCTTGATGCATCTATTCAAACTATTAGTCATTTGGGGGGGGGGACAAAAAAGCCGGTGGCAATGCAGGTTCATCCGTCACACTAGAGGTAAAAAGAATGTCCGTATTTCTGCACATCTGTGGCGAAAAGTCATCAGGCCAGAAGCAACGGGTGGACAAGACCAGAGAAACGTTAAATGTGGGCTGCCGGACTCATGGTGAATGTCCTGGCGCGATCATTTTGACGTTGATGGGGTAGGATGTCGCAGCACGGGCGATGTCATGGGACGACATACATTGGCTACGGGGGATATGCTTCGGTTGTGTGAATCTCCCCTCGTCTGTTTCACTTTTTTTTAGGGGTTGATAAGGGTTTTTCTGCAAGTCAAATTTCCCTGACACCAAGACGGAGGGGATTAGTAGTGGCGTTAATGAGGGGCATCACTCGGCGAGATGTACGCCTAGGCACGGCCATCGGTGGCCGATCCTCAGGACCTCCGGCACTTGGCGTAAGACCATCGCGTAGTTCATACTGCGGAAGCGATGCACTGCCACGCTGTATTTGGGAAAGGGGAAGGAAGGGGGACGAAGTGGTAGACAAATATACACACAATACACTCTAAACACTTCCGGGTCAGATTGACCCAGAATTGGGTTATAACCCTTTTCCGGGTCAAATACGACTCCAAAGGGATCATATTTTGACCCAGAAAAGGGTCATACCGAATGGGACCCAATTCTGGGTCAATGTGACCCGGAAGTTTTAGAGTGTATGAGACATGGATATGTGCTTGTTGTTCTCAACTGGACTAAGAGATGAGGGATCTACTGTCGAACTAACTTTCCCGTTTTTATTCCTTCAAAATAAACAAATGTAAATAGAGGAACAGGCTGGGAAAATCAATCTAAAGGACAGTAAATGAAACGCAGTATATTCATGAATGAAATAACTACCTTTTCAAATGCAAAGAGAGAGCTGGACCGCAGCCAGCTCCACGGACGAACCGACAGAGGATGAGTATAGCTAACCCTAATAGCCAACACGGGAACGTGGAATCGTGGGTGCTTTCTAGGTAGTGATGTATGGGTTTTAGTCACATGTACATGTACATTGACAGAGAATGTTGAATGGCATCGGTGGATCACCGTAAGCCCCAGGCGCTCCAATACACAAATAAAGAAGTCGGTCGAATGAGTCTCAACTCTTGAGGCAACGCGACGCTCACCGTCCATTTGGATCCTGAAGAAACTTCAAAACTCCGAGGGAAACTCCTAGATGTGAGTAAAATGTGTTTCCTCTGGTGCATTCTTCTAAACCAGAATATTTTATGGCGGTAATGACAAAAAAACATGAAACATGCATTTATTTGTGTCACACCCGTGTCATGAATAAATTAATTTATCATCAAAGGTGTGAAGCCGCATTAGCTTGTGCTTCTTCGGGCTTTTCTGTCTGCTTCTGAACCGTCTCTTGAAAATCAGAGAAGGGTGTTACCGAGCGGAAAATGGTTGTTTTCTGTGACAAATTGGCCGGTGAATTATGGAGCGAATTTGTCCAAATAGCCTGTAACCTGAACGGGATTCTCCACGGACGTCGACGAGGAAGGAGGGGGGCTGAAGCCGGGCAAAGACGCTGCTATCCCAAGCCAACAGATCCCTGGAGAAGCCGACACTCGTGCCCATCTCGCCTTCGATAAACGGACCAAATCTGCACGGAAAAAAAGAACTCCAAATATGCTTGTAGCGGTGCATAAGGGAATTTGTCTCAATTTTTCCGGTTCATTATCTCACATGACAAGCACGACGTGATTGAAATCGCGGTACGAGTGTGATGACTCTATTATCAACATCTTTTCTCTTCCTACATCCCTTGTCTGATTTTTTCCTCCCCCCCCCTTTCTTTCCCCCTGTCCCCTCCCGCCGGGCCGACGGTTGATGGTTTTTCTGCCGGTCCGGACGCGAGCTTGTTTGTAATAGGAACTCGCTGGGGAATGCGCGCAATCAAGCGGCGATTATCGGGCTTGATGACTTTTGATGCGGGCCCCGTCTGCCAGGCTGTCAGCCTCATGACGGTCTTAGGCAAGCCACACAGAGTCTCGGTTTTCCCCTCCCCCCCCCCTTCGTCCCACCATCTCTTTCTCTCTCTTTCTCTCCCCTTCTGCGGCGGTCCTTATTCTCAGCTATAACCTGCGTTTTTCTCACTTTCACACTGGTTTTGGCTTTCTACGGCATTTCTTTGACTCTCGATCCCTACCACGTTGTATACGACTGAGGAAATGGATGGAGGCATAATGGGATATTTGCCGTCTGTTGCCTCTCGCACTGCTGACAAGGGTAAACCCCCGAATAAAATCTCTTTCATTCATCAGATGTACCACTCATAAACCTTGTGTTGTGATCGAGTCCATCACAACAAAGTTCATTATCCATATTAAGTCCGATCATCAGCCACGAGGGACGAACAGTGGCGAAGTAATGCCTTCGTCTTAGTTCACTTGACTGGCTTGTGGTGGATTTATGAGGACTTATGAAGGGCTCCGACTACGACACTGCTTGACCCACTGCAATTTGGGGTGGGGTTGCAGGCTGTTGAAATGGGAATCGAAGACTCCATACACATGAGGAGAAAATCCGTATTCGCGCATACAAAAAAGTCTTGTTGAAATGGTTCCAAAAGCCAGGATCTGGCTGCACGAGGTGGATGGGACTTTACTGTTGTATTAACTTTGGGGGAAACGGCGCGCGCTGACCACACCAGTGGGGCTAGGCAAAGTGAAGCTATGACATCAGAACTACGGAAAAACAAATTCTGAAAAGTAAGTGGTAAAATGTTTTTGGTCACACATTTAGTCAACAAATTAGGTATTCTTTAAAATAGGATTCGGGGCATATACCGGAGAAGTAAAATTAAGATAATCCCTTTTAACAACCATCTGCACAAAATCATTGAAAGGCATTGGTAACTCATTGGTCAGTGTCAAAAACAAACAAATAAACAAACAAACAAACAAACAACCCTACAAAACAAAATAGCAAAACAAAGAAAAAGCCGAATGGATCTTTCATGTCATATGAATATGGTCAACGAGAGGAACAGACAGCCATATTAATTTTTAGAAGTTTCAACCAAGAACAGAATATTTCAGACGTTAATTTTTCGGTAATTGGACAAAAACACATCTCTTTGAAAAGTTGTACCGTCTGCGGTTGCTGCCTATCGCCACTTCTCTTTCGTGGAAATGTGGCAGCTACTGACCCGTGGATAACACCGACTAAGGGTAAGATTTCTCTGTTCCGGTATCTTTTATTTCATTTCATCATATTTCACAAGTCTGATTAGAAAAAAATTCCCTCACAAAACCAGATTTAAATAAAAAATATCCAAACGAGACAAACAATGTGTTTTAGACTGTTCACTCGAGACAAACATACCATGATCGGATTAAGATCTACGTGAGGAGATCCGAAGGTATAAGTGAATGAATATTCTGTACATAGAGGCAAATAAATAAATAAACATGTCCAATAATTGAGAACAAACTCCAAACTAGAAACACTGATAGGAAACAACGGAATACAGTGCCGGTATTTAACTTTCAAAGACCGACTTACGACAGAAACATAATCCGGATAATTGACAATTTGGAAAACCAAGCAACGAAAGCCAATAAGGGTGAGCGCAAGCTGGCACATGGACCAATCCTCGAGGAGTAGAGACTTGGTTGTTTTTACATGCAGAGAATGAAATCAAAGTAAAATTTCCATCAAAGCACCGTTGCGCATAGCAACATTGAATGCATGAAGAAACATCAAAACATGCATTTTGTAACCAACCACCACAAATGCACTATCCCACCCACATTGAATTAACTCCTTTTTTCAGAGGTAGAGAGGAAAAAGGTTGTGGATAACATAAACTCTCTTTCGATCCGAAATGCCATAAAAACAAACAATGAACGCTTTACAAAATTCCCCTAAGCGTATCCCTTGCACAAAAATTGAGCATTTGAAAAGTCGGGATGCCTCCATGGAGAAATCACGCTGAACAATGAATACATAATCCAAACGCAAACATAATGTGAATGAAATCCAGAACATGAGCAGCCAAACTTTTTTTTCGATCAAATAGTAACATTTATCAAAACTGTCTCAGTTGAAAGCATCACTGATTCACCAACAGTGGGACAAAAGCGCCAAAACACAACGCCACACAAGGATAGATTTTTCTCGTCCAATTTAAATCACTGTATACGATAACGCCTATTTTCTTTTAAATATGTCACAGGTTTGTAATAAACGTGCGTAGTACTTGTGCCAAAAAACAACAACAAAACATTACCACTGTTGTCATAATTGAATTCAATGTACCGCTGTTTGGTACACTGGGATTATAAACTAGCCTCGCAAAGACGGGCAAAAAGGATAAACAGAAAATAACGATAGATTATAATAATGTGCACGCCACGGACCGGATTTTAAAAAATACATTAGTACACTTGTGAATTCTGATTTGTGAAAGTGACCATTTTGTCCATAATCCGCTTTAAGGTAACCCCCGGCTTCACCTTCTGTCAAGAAATTAGTTTTTGAATGCAGGATTTTTTTTCGCACCCCATTCATTACTGTAATTCTTGGTTAATTACCGGAACAGTTCCTCAAGAAAAAAAAAAACCAGAATGCTTCAATTTCAAATAAAGAGATACTGAGTCACGGCGCAAGAGCCAGGATTTATGGATTTGTCACAATTGACACTTTTGTCTTTCGGAGGCGACGGGAATATAAATGAGAGGTGAAGAGTCCGTCTTTCTTTGCACACGTAAACGTGTCTTCCTCAATTTGTGAGCGCCACCTCGCAACGCCGATCGTCCAATCAGAGCTCATCAGGCGAACGTAGCCGGCGGGCATCGCAGCCAATCAGAAACGAGGACTGGACCGGTTGGGCGCGAGGCAAGGCCACTCATTAAAACGGACATGTTGCACTGCGCAGATGCTTGTATACCCGGCTCTTCGACTATCATGCAAATTTTATCCTGCTTGTTGCAAGGGATTACATTGTAAGCTTTCCCAAAGACATTACTGGGTGGCGATAAAATTAGTCCAAGAACTGTCCCGACCGTATGACAATGTCCTGGATTCTCAGGTGTCATTGATATTTGTTATCCCAACAAAACTAAACATCTCCTTTTCAAAGTTTGAGTAAGTGAAAAAAAGCCACAGTGGGCTTTTGATCATTCCACCATTTAATCGATCAATTCAACCGAATCTTCATTCTGGAGAAAATCCTGTTTCTAAATTCCAGTTTCCGAAACTCAGTTTCATCATGTGTACTTCCCCTGTGGGTTCAGTATTTCTTATCGATATTTGCAGTATCCCTAGGGTCGACACCTAAACACTCTCACTGCCGATATTCGTAATTACGCACTCTCGCTCTTCCGTTTCTATGTGCATCCAATCTCACACTTCTCTAAAATTATTACATAACAAAATATTAAAAATAGAACTTCCAAATTGATTAAAGACGTTTCTGTCAGTCTCTTTTGCCAAAATGTAAGGCATTTACTCTCAATGACTGGCAAACTCGTGAAAAGTCACAACATTCCATTTTTTCTTCAAAAATGTGATTTGGAATACGATTGTAAGATAAAGCTACATTATTCTAGATTTATACCATTGAACAAAAAAGGAATACGTCATATTTATATTACATCAACCTATTTTATTTTATACTAAACTATCAATGTACAAAAGAAGGTGTTTATGCTGGGCCATTAAGCCCTGCGTATTGACAAGCTGATAATGTTGGACTTTGACGGACAGGATAACTAAATGTTCCCATCCCGGAATGCTGTTTGGCTTTAAGGCGAAGCGTGGCAATACTGCTGGAGCAAGGTTCCCTGTACATGTAGGATGACGCCGGCACCGAGGCGTACGGACAGGCCGCCGCGGCAGCACCGGCCGAATTGTTCAGGTTCTGGTGGCTCATGACGCCGTTGACGTTGGATGAGGGAAAGCCGGAGCTCATGGTGGTCTGCGGGTTGAAGCACATGGGCTGGTTGGAGACCCCGGCCAGCGGATTCACAGTGTTCAGTGACCAGGGGAAGCCCTTGGACCCCAGGGGATTGGCCGACTTGGCGGCCCAATTGTTGTAGGAGTAGCCGGAGTACAAGCCGTCATCGAAGGGCTGCATCAGACCGTTGAACTGAGAGCCAAAGCCGTTCTTGAGTTCATTCAGCTGGTTCCGCTCTCGCTTCCTCCACTTGGCTCGCCGGTTCTTGAACCACACCTGTCACCATACAGGAAGGAAGAGACGGGGAAGAATAAAAAGGGTGGATGCTCAAGCACAAACAAATTCATCTTTAATTAAAAATCAATATCGAATCGAGATTGGAGGGTATCCTTTACACGTAATGACCTTAGAGAGGATTGAAACTGGATGCCGATGCCGAGCCGGCAAGAGGTGTTCTCTCCCCGACTCTGCCTTTTCGACAAATGCGATCTCGGTGTCGAGTTTCGCAAAGCAATATCGCAGTGTGTACACTGCACGGGGCGGACTTGATCGAAAAGATGGGCCCCGCAAATCCCCTCGGTACTGGGCAATCAGAACTCGAGATTTCGCCCTCATTGGCTCAGCTCTCGCGCGCCAGTCCGCGGCAGCTGTTTTGGATGTGGTGCACTTTTTCTTTCCCCCCTCCCTGTTTGTAATCTTGCCGACCGAGCCCCAACCGAGTTGATGATGGAAAGGGTCGGAAATAAGGCCCGATATGACAGAAGGCTGGTTGAGGGGCGAGTACGGATATGTTACGGGTTATGAAAGACGATCGTGAGTAGAATAGAAGAGGTCTAGCATGAGACTGAAAAGGTCATGCAGAAAGACATGGTAGCAGTGTTGCACCTCGGAATGTTGATGACCTCTGACAATCCACCAAGGTAATATGTACGTGCAGGAAAACAGGTAGGAGAAGGCAGACATTTACCCGGAGAAAATGACACCAGACAAAAAAGTGACTTCGCAAATAGTTTGGAGATTAAACAATGGAGTAGAGACAAACAAGACAGAACACGAAACTTACAGTTACCCGTTCAATAAGCCACTTGCGAGTTAAATTTGAATAAAATCTGGTACAGGGTGTTATCTGATTGCGTAGAAACGTAACAATTTCCCCAGGCTAAAGACACTGTTGCTATACCTCATGATTCGGGGCAAGCTTTTGCATAGCGTCCACCATCTCTAGAATGGACTGGTTCCTTTTTGCCGTTCTTATCCATGGAGAATAATGTATTGTTGCAAGGCGTCTCTTTAATATGTAACTAAGCAACAGCTTGCCCGAATCGCGAGGTATAGCAACAGTGGTTTTAGTATGGAATGTTCAAGTTGTTATGTTCATGAGGAATTTAAAGAACTCAGTGTACCAGATTTTATTCAAATTTAACTCGTAAATGGCTAATTTAAGTAATACTATTGGACACTTAACATCAATAAGGCGTATTAAAAAGTTTGTAGCCACAGAGACAGAGAATTGGACACAGGTACAAACCTTGACAGGACCGTAAATATTCTGTGTACATTAAAAAACGGTGAATGATAAGAGAACCTCACCACATGCTGCCAATATGAACGGTTTGTCCTTGACAGTGACTGATGAATGCGATTGCACGTTTGACTGAAGTTCGATTTTTTTGTTTTGTCACACTTGATACTTTGACTGAATGGAAACATCTGCTGCGCATGGGTTAATTTCACTAATCATCTGTTTTAATTTGTTGAAGGCAACACCTGCGACTGGAGTTGACGATGGTGAAATTCAATCGAAATGAAAAAAGGAGGGAGGGAGCTGAAGAAGTGATTAGAATTTCGGCATCGCATCCTAATTTCAGATTGAGAGAAATTTTGTATCATTTGTCTCTTGCTGGTTACCCGTTTTAAAAGTATCCATGCGCCGAAGGCATGAGACGTGTTAGGCGTACAGTCACGCGTGATTTCATGAATGTTCACACGTGATTTCACGACTGGTTGCCAGCACGTTGGTGTAAGTGTCTGTCCTCATATCCTCGAAAGAGGGGGCCCCAATGCCAGCCAAGACACAAATATTTTCAATTTCAGGTCTCGTGGGGTATGACCCCAATTGGTTGTCGGTCACCAGAAACGGCCCGTATACTGGTGACCACGCGCTTGTTTTTCGGTAGGGTGCACCGATTACTGGCGTGCCGTCCTGGGCCATCCACAAGGGCTTCACCGCGCACAGGGCCCGGGGACCTTCTGACCCCCATCCAAGTCGAGGTTTCCGAAAAAGATTTAGGGGGAAATTTCCGCAAAGTGCAATGCACCGCTGGATCTTTCTGGAGCAACACCGAGTTCCAGTCACGGCAGCAGTCAGGATGATTTCTCAGTGCATCGCCAGCGTTCCTCTTATTCTGTGGCCGTACAAAATTGTAATTTGAAAATTTACATGCCCAGGGGCAGGTATAAAATTTTATTCACCAATTTACAAAAGGAATTCAGATCCCACATAAGCCGCGTTGAACGTCGAACGCATGTGCATGTACACTACAGAGTCCCAAATGCCCGATGGGCAAGGTTGACTCAATTCAGCAACAGTTTGAGTAGGTGTCGACAGCAGTGAAGAAACAGTCAATTCAATACAACCGTCTGATGCACTTTTGGCTCAGATCACAAATCGTCAGTCAGTAACGCCTGTCTAGCATCCCGCTGCTGGTTGGTACCCGCCAGTTAATTGCCGCGTACAGAAACATCTCTGCCTCCAAGATTCTTTGGCATCACACTTTGTACAATGATAATTTTTTTTTCCCAGAAATAGACATCTGCCCGCGTGAAGCTTGATTCAATCTATCACTACGAAAGGTGACACTAGNCCCGATCACGTGGGTTTCATTGTCGCAATTTGATTGGGGGGGGATGGCCCCCAGAATATAATCCATATGCTCGATAATAACAAAATGCGCAGCCCAAGCCGTTGTGTTTACGACACCGCTGGACGGGGGCTTCCTTCATGCGCGGTAAGTCTACAAGCCGGTCCCAGCTGGTCATGGCCGCTGAGAGACACTTCGTGTCTGAATTTCTAGGAAGGACAATCAAGAAAACAACCACCCTCTTTTTTTTCCCCAAATGCTATCCATGAAACCTGGAATGCCTGACACAACTGGAACATTTCCGTAAAACAAATCTTTTTCCACACTCAGTTCTGTTTTAAGTCAAGCCCAGACATCAAAGTGCATGTCGGGTTTGTACGCCACAAATATATCAAATGGAATTGCCAGCTGTTGCACTCACACTTGTCTTGTTATTAAAATATAACCCTGCAAATTGGGTCACGAAATTTCCTTAATCTTTCCAATTTAACGTCATGTTGTAAACTAAAATGCAATTACACTGCTCGCTGAACACTGGGAAAATAGAATACAATTTGCATGAATGGGTGCGCGGAAAACGGCAAACCTCTGGTGCTGTCTATAGGATAAACTTCAGCTTCGCCCTCGTTTTTATGATAACTGAGCGTGAGTTTTATGCTCAACACAGACAGATGACATTGTCTTTCCAGTGCCTTTTGTCTTCGACGGAATTAGTTCCATTAACAATATAAATATTAATGATCGACCGTCTTTATGAATTTTGCATAAACGCACTGGAGCCACGAAATGGAATGCACATTTTAAACCCTGAAAACCCGCTATTTGTAATATTTCATGTACGCCATGCCCAGACGATATTATATTTATGGTTGATTTTTATATCTTTATATGCTTGAAAAGAATGTTTTAATACATACAATGTACCATAGACAGGCACAACGGTGCATCCATTTCACTCATAGAAATTTCATGACTGTGGGACCATACGTCGCCACTGGGCCAGGCGCCATCACCGCAGAATGCCCAACGCTTAATGGGAAAATAAACTCGTGGCGTATTCGCGCGCGGAAGAGCCTCGCTGACTTTGTACGCAGGATGTAGGAGCTAATTAACACTAAAATCCCTGTAGCTATTATGGACGTGATAGTGAATGAATGCTCCGTTGCTCCGGCCCTGCAGGGCACCGTAAACTGCGCCCCTTTTGTCAAGAGGTAGCGGGATGGGGGGTGAAGCGCAAGGGACTGGAGAGAATTCCCCAGGTCTTGATTCAAATCTTGACTCGAGGGAGACGAAGCACTGATCCAGCCTGGGGAATTGGTGGTCAAATCAAGCGACTAAACGGCGAGGTGGGCTGGGCACTGTGAAAATGGGGGGGGGGGGCTGATGACCGCTGCGATCTGATGGGGGTGGGGTTGATCAGGGAACCGTGATGGCCGTGAAATGATATCAGTGCGTGACGACGTGTTAGAGGTAATAGGGAGGTGTCATTGTCAGGGTGCAGTGTGGCGATGACTTCAGTGACAACGCAAAATGGTGATGGTGTTGTGGATGACACTGAGATGACGGATACAATGATGGGACGATGATGTCATCGGCAATGATGACGATGACAATGATAAGCATTAAATGAACGCCAAATGTTGTCGTACTGATGCCACGCCTTCATATCGAATTTGGGGTAAAAATCACAATATGACGGAGGTGACAGTCACGAAATTAGAGGCTACCCAAACGACAAATATTTTCCCCACTTCCTACTCAAGGGACTGCTATGATAAATCCTTGTAGGAACTACCAAAACCAAAGAAATGAAGAAACAAATCAGTGACAACTGAGACAGTAACTGAGAGGATGACCTATGACCCCCGTCACTACTCTGCCTCCCAAAATGTCAATGCAGCGCCCCCTCCCGTCCCATCTCTCGGCCTATTCAGCGGGGCATGAGTACGACCTGTTCATTAATTACCATTTCCTGACGATCAAGTTCATCCACAGGGGAGTTTAATTAATAAGCCGCCCTTTCGTTTCAGCCGTGACATTGGCCGGCGTGCCCGTCTGTGAGCGTGTGGGTTTAGTCGATGTGACACACAGCGATAGTGCCCAATCAAAGTTGTTTCTCTCAGTATTGTAAATCCACGAACCACAAATGCTCACGTTGATAGCCGATGCTCTAGCTACGTGAAACATCATATTTTATGCACAGAAATTATGCATACTCTAAAAGATTCCTGATGAGTTTCAAACATTAAAAGATCAATTTATTTTATGGCATTAGATTTCGAAAATAAGCGAACTGCGATATGTTTGAAATAGCTTACTTTTCTGTGACTGTAGATTCAGGTCATGTCTGTGTCATTTTAATAAAAGTGAACATGTAAGTTTTATTTAAGCGTTACTTTGGATAATAGCATGCACCCGGATGCCTCAAAAATTCAGGTACCTTCGTTTTAAATTAACAATCTGAAATTATCAAAATGAAACAAAAAGCCAATTTTCGCCTACAGATTTCGATTTCTGTGGTTCAAGGATATTTTGAAATAAGTGTTACCGGGAATGAATAATATTTAAAACAAACGAAATGCAACAACAACAACAACAACAAAAAGGATCGCCAGGAGATGTTACTGCTAGTCTTCACAATGACTTGAAGTCAAAAACTCCTTACTACGTCATTTCGTTCTGTGTGTCTTTAAAGCCCGTCTGAATTATAAATGCTGTGTTTCGCAAAGGACGTTAGCGATATTGCACTGAATCATTCATGAAGAACATGCCCTTTGTCAGAAGCAGTAAACAGCAGGTAAATTTGAAGTGACCATGGAACAATTCTGAACTCATACCTGTAAAAAACTTGATGTAGAGTGTTTTGCCTTCATAAGAAAGTCACTAAAAAGTCGTTTCATCTTGATGCCATTTTATCACGAGAATCTTAAAATGATTTAAATCTGATTTCTTGACAGGACGAATCAATAATCAAGGAGCTCGCAGTTAGAAAAAAAAATCTTCTTGACATTTTAGTAAATTTTGACATGAGATAAACATCCTTCCTGGACAAACTATTATCAGAAAGGACTTTCATGCCTACATGAAAAGAGTCTTTAATTACTTGGTATGAGCTTTATTGGTCCAATGGTTGTAGTTTTTCTGTCTTGTTTGCTACAGACGCCATCTCGAAAATGTCCAATCACCGACTTCTAACGTGGAGAGCATTGCAAAGGATTTTGCTGGGTGCCTTATACGCAGAGGATTCAACCTTGGCCAAAACATCAACTCTGTTTTCCCCTTGGGTGTAAATCGCGCCAAAGTTACCCCTTTTAACAAAGTCCAAGTCTCCTCGATAATGCGAAAAAGGAAAAAGAATATCAATGTCATAAAGAATGACTATTTTTCAAAGACAGAAAAAGGCAACTGTTGTCGGTGTGTAGTAAGAATCCCATATCGTTGAAGGGGACGGGTTGGCCTTGGTACGGTTTGATACTGATATAGGCGAATAAAGACCTACAGCAGGGATGGAAGGTCTTGCGTTTGTGATTTGAATTGAATTGAATTCGGAGGACTGATTAACGATGACATAAAGTAAACAGCGGCTGTGTCTTCAAGGAATGGGGCTTATAGAGCCCCCCACCCCCAAAAAGAAAGCAAACAGCAACGGAAATGGTTCGCACAGCACACCGGCAAGAGCTGGAGATCGCTGGACATTTTAATATTCAAACACATTGCTTATGATACGAAGGCGCGTATATGTCATTATCGATTCCTCGACAGTCCACGAGGGTAATGTGCCGAGGAAATCAAGCTCAAATGCAGAGCACTGTGTGGAATCTGGCAGTCTTATTTCATCTATGTTTCTACTGGGAAGGTACACAAAATGCATAAAAGTAAAAACGAAACTATTCAATGACGAACACGGTAAAGAGAGAGTGGACAGAGAATCCACTATGAAGAAAAGACAGAAAAAACAAACAAGACATTTGAGAGGAAAACACTTGCTAAGGGGCACACAGAGGGGTTAATAGAAAGTTGACACAAGAAAGACACTCAAAATCATGACTTGTCAGTGTCGCCAAAAATGCCCATACAAAGCAGGAGATTTCCATTGCTACCATATATGGTTCAGCTTTCTCTGCACGATAGAGGATTAACTTCTCTTTGCCAAATAAAATGTGAGACCAAATGTATTATAACTTTCATGCAATCACAAATAACAGCTTGAATTTCAAGTGTAACTTTGGAAAACCATTTCAATTTGTGGCGTGAAGCCTATACTGCATTAATAAGAACACTGAAGTTTGCAGAGGCTGCTGTTTATTGGTAGCGTCATTAGGATTCCTTTTCAGGCGATAGCACACCTAGGTTCCTTACCCGGACGCGTGATTCAGTCAGGTTGGTCCAGGCCGCGATCTCTTCCCGCGTGGACATGTCCGGGTAGCGGTTCCGGGCGAAGTTCCCCTCCAGCTCCTGCAGCTGCTGGCTGGTGAAATGCGTCCTCTGTCGGCGCTGCCGTCTCTTCTTGCTCGACTCATTTTCCGACGAGTTTTCCTCGGTCGCGCTGGTGTTACCGTTCTCCACATTGGTCTCGCCTAAAGACAGAAGAATAAAATGTGAACGGGAGAAACAAAAGCAACCAAACCCAACGTGCCTTTGAAAGATTATTCTTCTCATACCTTGGAAACAAAACAAAACAAAAATGATCACAAAACAATAAAAAAAATCCTGCAGAATATTTGCCTCTAGCTTTCACCGTTTCTGATCTTCGTAGTCGGGATCACAAAGTGCCGGCCGTCCACGTCACCATGACCCTAGTTCTTCGGGCATACGACGAGGCAAACACGCTCAAGGCTAGTTCATCCCTTAGTCCTGCCACTCGAAGTATTGAGATGACAAGCTCTCGACTCGAGTGGCTCTCACAAGCCGTTCTTTTCTAGTTTCCCGAAGACCCTCTGCCGCTTTCTAGCATTGGCGTGAAAGGTATACCCAGCAAGAAATGAGACCGAGGGGTACCCCCCCACATGTCCAATCCCTATACGCATTCCAGACTATTGTTACTTAACACATCCCCCAAGATGTCTGAAAGGAATTTCCCAGATTCCTGCGAGACAATGACCAACACAAAGCAGGGGGGGGGTTCTCTCCGTCTCATACCTTGCTGCATATGGTGAAAGGACAGACGGACACCCTCATTCCATAGAGACAGTGACAGAGATAGGTTCAGCAATAGGAAATTGATGGCAGGGCACCAGACTTTGGAAGGTGTGAATCTTGAACATGGTGCTGTCTTCCACGCGGCATTGCTCTAGACTGGTTCTTGGTTGTGATTCTTATTGCCGTTAAACCTAATAGTTGCCGCATAACAGTATACCATGAAGCCAATAAGTGAAGTCATGACAGTTGCTAACACAACTTTAATAACAGAAAATTAGGAACACATCTGGCGGCAATATTTCCATTTCGAACACATGTCCATCAGGCCCCCCTAATTCATAATGCTAGACTGGAAATTATTTACGAGCTGACATAGCGTGCACCATGATACCCAAGATTGTCCCAGAACTTACAAACGAGCTATAAATTGGCAGGATCAAGACTAACTTACTGCATGTGGTGTCATGCGACAGATTGCAATGAGCCCCTTTGGAAGAATAAATCAACCTGTAAAAAATATCAGCACTCGTGGCACAAGTGACAAACTTTTGCCGATGCTTTGGGAGAAAATTCCAGTTCGGTAATTCGAACATGTCCTGTCAGTCTGTAAACAAAAATTAGTCATTTTGACCGATAAAAGTTAATCCAGCGCTTGCCTTAAATGGCTAATTTAAATTACTCAGACAGGCCAATGACTAACATTTACTGGTCAAAGATAAGTCAAATATCAGTTAACATTGATCGACATCAGGCACTGTCGACTTAATATTAGTCCTGTCTTGATTTAATAAGTCATCGAGACCCGACCTTCCTATATTAGTCATTTTGAGCACAAAATGACTTTCGTTTACAGTGGATACTACATACGTTCAATGTTTCACGACCTGCAGGCGTATTCTTATTGTATCTCACGCGACATTGCTTGAATAGAGGTCTGTTACAAAACGAAAGCACGTCGACAAAGACGGAATATGCAAACAAATCACACTAAACCAAAAAGTTGGGGGGGGGGCAGCAAGTGACTCCAACTATACTCGTGCACAGTGACGTTTTCCTACAGTTGCTGAAACTCCTTACCCTCTATTGCCCTTCAGTGCAGTTGCCAAGGGAAAGGGGAAAACTGACAAAGTGATTAAACAGACCAAGATTTATCAAAATCATTATCAACAACATCTATAACATATCCTTGAGTAGTTGGTGAAATTCTATTTTGATTTGGATGATCTGGACTATTTCCTTTTGTATGCGACCAGTCAGATGTATGTTTCGTGCAAAATGTTGAGGTTAAACCTGCAAAGTGATCATTTTTGGGTCGGGGCATATGTGGTATATTTTGTTGATTTTTCCCAACGAACTGTCTTTTAGAAATTCCATCCTTTTTCAAACTGTCCTCTCGACTGAATGAAATCCACGGTAGGGTTTACAGACAATCCGTTTACACAATTATCTTATGCTTGAGTACAACAAAGCATGGATACACGGAGACAAATTGGCATTGTCATTTTTCTGATTGTGTCATATGATAAGCAAAGTACAAACCTAATTGGTTGCCGACAGCCAATTGGCTGGCTGACACTTCGCGTAAGCCGGGAGAATCTGATAATGTCAGCGAGCAGGCGATCCACCGAACAGCCGCGTCCTGCCTGCCAAGGCGGGCTGGGCCTGACAACTCTGCTAAGTGAAAGTGAAGACGGGTTTCCGTCAGGGGGGACCCGCGGCTCAGCCGGATTGGGTCACTGGGTTATTTCTGAAGGCTCCTACTTCTCTTTCCACAGAAAGCCGGCATCTCTCCCGGTGTAAATTATTAGGATTTGGCGCAATTATCGAAAGCGCAGGGTGCTAAGAGGAGCCAGGGCTATAGCATTAAACCGTTCACGGGGAAAAATAATGCAAATGGTACTAATTCTGAGCGGCAGAACACGAAAGTTAGTGAATGCTGTGCTGACTTTCGTATGGGAGACTTCAGAAGCCAGGCAGCACACGGCACTGAAAACAGAAGACACTGCGAAGTAGCATGTCCGTGTGCATAGGCTAGATTGAACGTTCCCTCTGTTTCTCTCCTGTTTTCGGTCAAAGTCGCAAATCCCCTCATAATCCGACCTCATTAATCCATCCGAGTCTTTTATCCTAGACCAGGAAACATGTTCTTATAGGTAGGTCTGCCAAGCCCAACCGTGGGCAGATGATGGAGCAGTGGGGGCTCCTCCCAAATGTGGCAAGGGAGAGGGGTGCTTCCCCTTCCCCTAAAATTAAAAAAAAATTAGGCTCTCCTGAGCTTAATTATCTGCTTTCAACTTCTGTTTTGAAATTGAAAATGTGTCTGCTCAAAGTCTACATTTGGTTTTATGAGAGAATAAATGTTTTATTGACAAAGACAAAAATACATTAAGGACGGCAAATGTTCCCACTATTACGAGTTTCATTGAGGTGAACACAGGTATTTTCTTAGTTTGGAACAAAACCAAAGCAATTTAATACAGTTTTGACCTATCGTTCAGCACGACTGTATTCTGGATTGTTGGGATTACATACTTCGTACTTGCACGTATAGGTACAGATGTCTTGGAATGTACAGTTTCTCACGTCGGACACCCGAAGAATGTTTTAAAAATCCTTGAAAATCCATCTTTAAACAGTTCTATCCTCTCATTGAAAACACCAAGCACATCTTCCCGGATTAAGCTAAAGCGATTATCCTTTCTTTTGACCTAAGGCATGTCGAAAGTAATCATAGTTCTCTGTTTGGGACGAAGCCACTTCCTTGTTCCTTGAATTCACCTTCAAATCATGCCACCTAAGAAAGGTCTAGGTGATTGATGAACAACAGGTTGGGAAATAGAGGAAGGTTTGCTTCGCTGTGGTTTTACGGTAGTCAAAAAAAGCTCATACACAAAATTAAGTCTCAGAGTTAAATGTCATTATCATCTCATTATTACAAAGGTATCACTGTGGGTTTATTTTAATTTGTGCTTTTTAATGACCATATCATTTAATTATTTATCATAATGGACGGAGTTGTGTGAATAACTTGAACAAAACAAGCAAATTCAGGTTTCGATCTGTTCACTTTGAGAGAATGTTGCTTTGGTTTCATTTAACATCTGCTTGCTTTTTTCATTTTCATTTCATTTCATTTTCATTGAGTGTGATCAAAACTGTCTCGGTAAGTCTTGGGGATGTCCTCTTCAAAATGTGAGTTCACTCATGTGATTTATGTTATCTACCGTGGGCGGAATCTTTGTCCAAGACGGCCGCGACCTCTAATCATTGTATTGCAATTGTGGATGTACTACAGGGGCTTGGTTTGGGTGGTTGTTCGGGATTATTTGATCAACACTGAAGGTTGCGAAAAAAGACAGTGGCGGGCCTGTCTGCCAATAGCAACGACCGTCGGGTCGTCCATTGAGATGATTGCACTTTAGGATGGCGCACCGTTTTTTTTTCCAATGAACACTTCCTTGTTTATAGAGTGATCTCGTTGTAGCTGTTGACTTCCACAAATGGCCGATGAGAACACTTTAGGGAGCTTAGATTTTTCTCTAAGACGGGATAACGGCAAATGTCCCCAACCCCCCCCCATCTGTAAATCCCCTGTTTGTGTATTAAATTCAGTAAAACTTAACACAACTCAATTCATTTAAATTCACTGTGATATTACAAAAATACACGGAAATCATTTTCTCAGCTTACAATTACGAACAAGGTGCGTAGAGAAAGATGTGTTCCTCAAGACAAAAACCAAATCGTTGCTGGTTACTTGAGAAGAATGAAGTTACTACAGAATAAAACGACAGGAAATGCGGGATGAACCAAGATCATCTATCAAAGTTAAAAAAAATAATAATCTAACAATCTGCCAGAAACAAAAGCACTAGTGAAGTCAAGATGTTAATCGAATGTCTACTCAGCTTTCATTGTGACCCGTAGGTTGGTTTAGCGGAGTTACTGCCCTTATTAAGGGATGAGAGTTGTAATCACTGTTTCAGGACAACAAGTAGGAAAACAAGTACATCAAATAAACAAATAGTACATCCAAATCCCATTGTTGAAAAAAATATTTCTGCAATAAGTTCGGTTCGCGTGAGTTATGAAATTAAACATCCTTGCATAACGAGTAAAAGCGGAAGTAGGAATGTTTACAACTGTCGGAAAAAGAAGCTGTTGATTAAAAGAAAAGTTTTAGTCGTGTACATTAAGTCGTGTATTGTTTCCAAGAAAGAAGCTGTACACGACTTAACAATCTTATTTGTTTCCTCCAGGAATAATGAGAAATTCGGATCATGTACAGAATGCTGGAACAGAAGCGGTTTGTGTTCTGCTTCTTGATGTGTCACCGTTTCTGCTGACCTCGTCCGCTGTGTTTACGGGTTCCTCTACGAATCTCGCAATAAACTTCGCGAAAGAACACAAAATTGTTTCGCAAAGTAATATACATGAG